ATTGCCTTTTATCTAACAGCCAGCAGTGTAGCTGATTTTCTATTGATTCTTTTATTTCCAGGCTGCTGAAGAAATGGTTAAATACCAACTGCGGCATGGGAACGACTTGCTGGCCTGGGACTCACTGAGGGGCTGTGATGTAAGTATTAGAGAACGTCACTTGTTATGGATGATTGTGCTTTAAAATGGTGGACAAGCAAAAAAGCGAAAAACAGTAGTCTTCTGTCCCCAATGGTCCATTTTTGCAAGTTCCTATCTCCACTTTCTGAGCTAAATGGGAGAACGTCATGTTTCCCTGACATTTCGCTAGTTGTCACTAATACTCCAGGGCGGAGAGAGATGCTGTTCCAGTAAATAGTCTTGCCAAAGATTACAGTGCAATGACCTAGCAAGGGTGCAAACTCGGACCTCTTCTTTCTGAGTACACCATGTCGCGCCTCAACAGGGAAATAAGGATAAAGATTTTCAAGGAACAAGACAGATGACACCAATAAAACTGATCCAACACAATTTCCCAAGTTCGCTTACACGTAAGTGAGAAGCGAACCCGATCGAAGGGTAATAAACATGTGGCTATCGTATTTTTATCTACACTGTTTAGTTGGATTTTACTTTTTCCCGATCTTTGAAAGGCACGGTTTTCTTACTTTAGTTTATATTCAGAACTGTAATTAAAACCAAATATCCACTTGCAGATAAATCTAAAAGAACAGGGCCGTCTATTACGCCAAGACAACTTCACTGTTTGGAATGGGAAGAAAAAGCATCAACGGAGAATTTTCTTACAGGATGATTTGGTTATATTCAGCAAAGTCAGGAAACAGCCTGGAGGAGTTGACTTGTATTACTACAAAAACTCCCTTAAGGTACTGGATTAGTTTATAAATACAAACAGGAATAAATATGTATTTAGATTTTGGAAAGAGGGATGCCAACACTACCGCTATTTTTTAAGTAACGAGGAAATCACCCCTTTTTTAACTCAACTTTTTTTATCCCAGCTTTTTAGTTTTAATTTGTCCTTCGTGAAAACAGTGTGGACTTTAAAATCTTTTGAACCCCTTCTGTTTTTTATTGACGTGCATTTGAGTATTTCCAAGCCGGATTTTGCTCAATCCAATCTCCTGTAATGGTCTCAATGTTTGCTGACCCCGATATTTGTTTCTTTTCATTTAGACAAGTGATTTGGGTCTAACGGAGAATGTCGGTGACAGTGGGCTCAAGTTTGAACTATGGTTCAGAAGAAGGAAACCAGATGACACATTCGTTTTACAGGTCAGCAGTTCATGTCCAGAGACACTCTTTCGTGTTTTCGCTTCAGTGTTCTACACGTATCACGTATTGTTCAGATACCAGATTTAGGATAACCCTTTCACCTTTCTGTATCGTGCATGAAGTTCGATACTGAAAGAAATATCAATCAAGTGTTCGGGGCAAAGACTTGCGGAATTTAGTGTTGAAACTTAATTTCCAGGTCCCCAATTGACGTCAGTTTTCTTTTGTTGATCTGTAGGCACAATCTTTCGAAGCGAAAACGGCTTGGGTGACAGAAATCACAAGGTTACTGTGGAAACAAGCGATGCGAAATAGGGGTGAGTGTTTAACTTGTGTCACACATCGATGCCTGCGTGCGTACGTGAGTTCGCGTGTATGTGCATGCACTCGGTTGTTCTTACTCCAGTGCCTTCGTTCGTTAAAACGTGCGTGCGTACGCTCATAGGTGTTTCGTTTCTGTTATCGTACTTTCGTTGGTTTGTTTGTTCGATGTGAAATGTGAGTTCATGTTTTTGATCGTTCGTGGTTCGTTTATTCATGATCTAACAGTCTAGACCAATCACAGAGCGAAGTTAAACCCATTCAAAAAAATCGTTTAATCTTCAATTTTCAGAGTATGGTTTAACGGAAGCGTCAACAGGTATTAGTGTTGGAAGTCAACCGCCTCTAGTAATTCCTAGTACCCAGCCCGGGGACACGTCACCATACCAACCGGTAGTCAACGCTGTTCATGTGCCTCTTATTAGGACTCAGTCCCTACCATCCAACACCTACAGTCCCCGTTCGACAAAGAAGCGTCTATCAGTTGTTAGCTCAGAGACTGCCTCAAGCATGGAGTCTTCAAGCAGTAGCGGTGTCTATGACCTCAATCTTCCTGCAACGGACGAAGAGAACTCTATACGAACCAGCATTGTAACACCGCTCGAAGAGAAACTGTCGAAATCTGGTGGGAAACGCAATAAAGTGCGGAAAATATCTACAGAGAAATCACCTTTGGCACAACTGAATAACAAAGAAAGACTTGTCGAGGAAGTTACCTCCGGCAGCATGGAAAATCTCTCTGATGGAAGAAAAAGTAGTGCTGAGGAAACGCCGGGCCTCAAATTTGGAAAAGACAAACTTGTTGTGACACCAGAGGAGGACAAGGAGGACAAAAAGATAAATAATTTTTTCAAATCTTTTTCTCTACGGGAGAAATTTACGGATAGAAGTAGATCGAGAAGTCTTGAGGACAGTTTTGTTGGTTCACCAGTTACAAGGAGAGCAAGTAAGGAAAAAGACAGTTATAACACTGCACCGCGGAGGAGATCATTTATAGAGAAGATATCGATGAAATCCCACGTGGACAATTCCCCAAAGAGGCGAAACTCGTTAGAAATTCCCAGTCCTAAGAATGGAAAGAACCTTGGAGAAGACGAGGAGAAAAACGAGAAAATAAAGGGACAGACTACAGAGGTAACCAAGAATACTTTGTTTACTTTTACTAGGTTGTGAGTTGAGTTCATCGTCAACAACGTCAATGCCGATAACAGACACGCAGAAGCAAAGGAAAATTCTGGAGTAGCAGAGACAAATTCTTTACTACGTATCTTACTACTCCTCTTGGCGTTCGTCTATCGAATCATTGTTACGACCAGCAGAGAGACGTCAGGTTACGCTAGTTTAGTTTGTTGCGCGGCAAGTTTTTATCTAACACGAAGAAGGAACCTTATGATAGCTAACTGAAGGGTTCTAAATAAAAGTCGCTGAATTGTGTATTTGCTACGCAAAAGTAACTTTACTTGAAAAATCGGGCAGTAACAATGTCTGAAACTGATGCGTTTACTTGCGTTTTGGGCAGCATTTTATGCTTCATAGTAGCAGGTCTTTTATGGAGTATAAATGTTAAACCTCCTAACCAATTGTCTCTTTATGTGCTCAAGTTGAATTTTTTCTTTTCTTACAGGTTTAAAGCGAGAAATATGTAACGAATAAGTTCGTCCGATGTCAGTCTTGCACCGAGACAGCATTGAACATGTGCCGACCCGCTTACCCCTGCTGACGAGCAACATGGAAGATGCTGTAGACAGTAGTTATTGTTGATGTTGCAATTAAAGAATCGAACTTCACTGCCATTACAACTGGAAAATGTACAGTGTCCTACAGTGAACTTAGAATCTATTACTGAGAGATTTAAAGTTTACCAAATAGAATTTGATAAAAAGTTATGTTGTATGACTCATTTAGTCAAATTATTCAAACAATATTAAACCCTGTTGGTGAATGTGTTTGAAACTGTGAATATTAGAATATATCTTATCATTTAATTGTCTCCAATCATACTTTATAAATTAATTGTTGTTAAGATTTAAACATTGAAAGAGGTCTAATTTTATATAATCGATATTGGCCAGGTTTTATCTACAGGTTGCACTGAATATAAAAATTTATATTTTATATGACTTGCAAAAATTTAATTGCAATATATGTTCGGTTTTGTCAAATTAAAAAGTTAATAAATTTTCACAAAACAGGAAGAAGAAAATTGTATTAATACAAGGTTATTTAAAGTTACAGTTTTTTTAAACATTGCAAAATTTGTGAGCTTAACTTTAAAGAAATTAGTAATATCGATTAGTAATATCAAGTCCAAAATTTGTGAGCTTAACTTTGAAGAAATTAGTAATATTGATTAGTAATATTGAGTCCAAAATTTGTGAGCTTAACTTTGAAGAAATTAGTAATATCGAATCCAATGTCTACATTTATTAAAAGGGATTAATGAGAAACAAATTCACAACCAAGAAATATGTTTTAAGTTGGTCTATTAATATAAGTACTTTTAGGTTGAGAGCAACATTTAGGCTTTAAATTAAGTTTACTTTCCTTT